TTGCTGAACATCAGAATGCAATTAAACTTAGGCCATTATTTAATCACAAACTCCCATTTAAGGTAGTTTATGTTGTTTGGAATGAAGAAAATAAACGATAGTGTTAAAATGTAGTAGTCAGTGCCACTACATATTTTTCTAGTAGAAAACTATTAGATGCAAATATGCAAATATACCATATTTACATCTAAAAGGAGGAATATTTTTAGCATTTCGAGAACATAAGAATTAGGACACTCAGTTTCACATAGGATGCAGTGGAATCAGAATTTTAAAAAACATAATTCTAGGGAAGCATCAAATCCAGTTTCAAGCTACCTATATACTATTATCTACATATAATATAAGGGCGGTGTCATGTGTCTGAAATATAAAATCTGTTTCTCATTCTACATTGTATGTGATTTTGAAAGGAATTGATCTCCATTTTTTAAGTCTTACTGTAAGGTCTCTGATTCTTGTCAGCTGCCTAGAGTCATTGAGAATTGGGGGCATATAAATTTAATAAATTATTATTATTAATCTCACCACTCGGAAATAAGTTGGTTAAGACAGTTTGCTTTACTTGTCAGCCATTTCATTTGCACTTATTTTCAGGTGATCCATGCTTGCCCACATACACTTTTATATATTGTTAAAAATAAACAGAGACCTTATGTTATATCCATTGTGCTTGTGTACAAAAGCCTCACAGTGCTCTTGGGTGATCAGTGAAGCTTGAATCTGCCTCTATTTACTGTATGGTCACTGTCAGTTCAATGAACTGCCTTCTTATTCTCCACCATTGTCTCACACTCCCTTAAACATTTGTCACTGAAGTGCCTCCAAAGACAAATAAACTGTCACTGAGAATTCAAATCTGGTAACTGGGAAGAAAAGGGGCACAAGGGTATCCAGTGGATTATTTTACATGAAATGGGGAGGGGGAAGTATTAAGAGAGACGGGGGAGGGATGAAGCATTCTTTGCCCCCACTCATTTTGTCATGGTGGGTCAAAGCTTGTAAATATTTCAGAAATCTTGTAAACATCAAAGAAGTCAGGGCTGTATTTGTTTCTCAAGTATCCTTTGAGGCACATCCTGTTTTGGGCAAATCTCACCTGCTGGATAGGATAGCGTTGAACTGTGGTTGCTCAAGATAATAAAACTCTTAGAAATTAACTCATGGAAATTGAACGGGCTGAGAGAAATAGAAGCAAATCTTCAGTAGAAAAGTGGATTTTTTTTCTTATTATTCTTCCCTCCCTTATTATTTTTATTTATTCTCAGTATTATAAAGTCATCATCTATAAATGTCTCAAAGTAACTAACAAGGAAATTGACCATGATAGATATAAATGTCTATAGAATGATCATCTTATCCATTTGATGAGCTCCAGATGTGCTAGACTTCACAATTACTAATTGTCAGCCTAATTCTCAGCCATTAGAATCAGCCATGCAGACTGAAAATTGTGGAAATGACATCCAATACATCTGGAAAGCACCAGGTTGATACCAACAGATTTTGGGGTAAAGACATTCAATAATCAATTAGGATCCTTTTTCTCTATGGAGCTCAACTCTGGTTGGTTTTTATTTTTAAAAAAAGTTGTAAAGAATACATTTATTTAGAATCCTCATTCCAGGTGCCATGGCATCTACTTTTGACAGGAATTTCTCAAATTAGGACTAACAAGGAAGTTCTAGTTCCTGTACTAGGAAATAATTATGTTCCCCAATGTATATTTCTCTTTGAGGAAAATCTATGGCCCAAACAGATTTCCACACTTCTTTCTCAAGAGTATAAGTAATGGGTAGCTATTACCTCAGATCAAACATTAAAGTTGACTTAAAAATATCTCATTTCCTGTGACTGAATTAAGAAAAGTATTTAAGTTTATCCTGAATACTAGAAACTCAGTATATGTAAGTGGAGCTTTTTATTTTAATGTCAGGTTTAATGAATTAATGAAAAACAGCATATTTTTTTTAAATGATGTGGTGCATTGTGGTGGAAATACTAAATTTACAATTTTGTTAACTGCTTTTAACAGTTAGGTCTGATGGTTTTCACACACCAAAAAAATGTTATCTAAGAAAGCATAACAGTTCTTGCTGATCTTTCTTCCTCAGCAGTCAAGGTTTATTTGTTGCAGCTTTTAATCTTTTGACTTGTCTTCCAATCACAGCATTGAAAAAGAAGTTTTAAATAAACAGCAGGGATACAAGATAAATAAACTTTTTTTTAAGCAAGTGCCTAGCTTGGCACAGTTCAAACACAATCCCCTGAGGACCAAGCTCTCTCTTTTGTGTTAATGTTTAAAAGATTTTCAAATGCTGAGAGTTTATTCTTACTGCAAACATTTCTATTTACAAGGTCAAGTGTATCAGCACTCGAGACAGCTTAAGAGCGTAATTATTTATCTAAGGGTGTTTGAGTGTAGATCAGTAGCTCTGGCAGAAAACCAGCCTTCAGAGGGCTGCAAAACAACTGCTAAGGCCAGTGTAAGACACAGGCTTGTCATTGTTGGTCACACATGCTTCATTATATCTGCTCTCTCCTGCATGAAAGGAAGGTGAGCTGGTTTGCAAAGTGCCTCCAATTGACCAATCATTATTCTAAATGTGTTACATACTTGACTATGGATTTGGTACTTAGATACAAACAAAGGCTTTCCTATGAATTGCCATCAACAAAAATTGATGTATTTCAGTGAAAAAGCTGGGACACAGCAGTTTCTGTGGAAATGCAAAATGCATTAATTGGAATTGCTGTCTCCAATCATACACCAAACTTGTTGCCATGCTAACATAATTTATATCTGTATCTACTATCTTTGCTCAAAGGAAATATTTTTGAAGGGAAGCAATTACCAACTTACTTAAGATATAGTTGGCAAGTTCTCCAATTGCTCAGAGGAATACCACTGAATCACATTAATTTATTTCATAGCAAGTAATTTGAAGAACAAAATCTGTACCCAATTATTTCCATTTATATTCCACTCTGTTCCTATTTGGAGTGGTTTAAAAACAACTTCACCATAACTGTTCTTTAAAAATCTCTCTTTACTAATTTACACATAAAAATACACAATCAATAGATATTTAAACATAGGGCCTTTTCACACAGTCTATAAAAATACAATGTTTAAGGAAGTCCAGAGAAACATTTATACAATTCTACAAAGTTCATAAATCCCTCAAACAATACAAAATTTAAAATCAGACCTATTTGGAAAAGCTCTGTACATTATTTCATTTAGGGAATTACTGCTGCTTATATTCCTTAACATACAAAATAATCTGTCTCTTTGCAATAAAAGAATAACAGATGTATTTTTTTTTGCAGGTGGGGTACATTTAAAACTTTTTAATTTCTTAAAAAATAAATTATTCCCAAAGTATACATTTTATAAAATTCTATATACAAGTAACAACAGCTGGTAACAAAACCAGTTTTAAATACATTTTATATAAAATTTACCAGAGGTCAGCCCCCTGATAGGATTAGAGGCAATATAACTTCTCAGGATATTTTTACATACTGAGCTTAAAAAGTGTCTTTTGAAGATGGCAGTGCAGCGCTCTTTAGAGACAAAGGTTGCATTGTTCAATAGCCAACAGTTCAGCATTTTTTTTTTCTCCTAGGCTGAGGCAAAAAAGATTTACTGGTGAACTTATGTATTGCAATTTTAACTGATGCAAAAACCAATACAAACCCTGAACAGGAAACCATTACTGTAGGAAAACCAATGAACCTACATATCATCCCCAGACATCTAGAATGAAGTTGCGTATCACAGGAATGTAGGAAATATATTTATGTCTTTTCCCATAAAACTATGTGCAATCATCACGGTAACAAATACATGCCAGTATTATACTTCATTCTGCAAAAAAAGTCCTAAGTTTACTATATATGAATCTTTGAAACAACTCTGAAAACTCTTCCCTCTATGCCTGCACACCTATCCAATTAAAAAGAATCAAAATTGTATCTTCAGTCAACCATGATGATGAATTCTGTGAATGTTAACTTGTTGAATGGTTATGCAAAGCAGCACTTTTTGGAAGCATTGCAAGGAAATCTTAACTTCATTGTGGACAGCTTGAAAAAAAAAATCAGTCATTGGTACATTTATTGTTTTCAATTTGACCATAACCATGAGACAATCTGCTTACAGTGTTCTTTAAAGTCATTTGCCAAATGGCAATAATTTGCATAGTGCACATGTACAGATATGTCATGCATACTGTATATTTCCTATCTGGATGCAGACAGGGTTGAGAAGAAGTCCATTGTATGTAATTAGGCAGCTGCAAGTGGTGATGTCTGTGCACATGGCAAAATAAACACTGCACAAGCTACACCCCCTGACATGCATAGTCAAGACATTATTTATTATCTCATAAAATAACTAATGTGCAATATATGTAAAACCTACAGGTGAATTCCAAAGCATATTCATTTTGGACATCAACTGGAAACCCTTCTAAAGAAAAGTGTCAATAAACGAGGGCCCAGTAACAAACCCCACAGCTTTTTAACTGTACCAGATTCCCTTTCTTTAAATCAAAAAGGGAATTTAATACAACAGGATCTTCCCTTTCAGGCATCATTTTTTAAAGGAGAAGCGAGGAGGAGAGAAAATGCCCATCGTGAGAGGAAATAAATCTTTACACAGGTAGGAACACACAGCAAACCAAGTCCCAGAGGATAAGGGGTCTGGCCAACTCTGAGGTCTTCCACCTTCGGAGTTTCTCTCGACCGATGAAACTAGGAAGCTCAGGCAAGATGCTCAGGATACTGGCCTGTTTCGGGGATTCCTCTTCCCAAGATACCATGTTCCATGGGAGATATTCTGCCATCCTGTGAGAGAAGAGACCCGGGGAAGCTCTGAGACCCTCGCCCGGCCAGTAGAAACCCCACACCGGACAAGCGCCACGCGGCCAGCCCATCTTCCCTCCCTCTCAGCTCGGCCACGGTCCCCCTCATGAGCGCCTCCCAAGACTAGGCTAGGAGACCAGCAGCAGCAAAATGGAGGCGAGCGAGAGCAGCGTCCAGGCGGCCGCAGGGGCTGTCCCGCCGTCCAAGGGCTTCCTCGCCTCGCCGCCCGCGACGGCCGCCATGTCGTCGAAGTAATTTCTGGTGGGCTGGCTGGGCTCCTCCTCGTAGTCCTCTTCGTAGTAGTCGTCGGAGGCGCTGTCCGAGGCGCCGCTGCTGCCGGGCCCCAGGGCGTCAGCCCCGAAGCACAGGCGAGCCATGTTCTCCTTGACCGACTCGCAGATGGGCCGCTCCAGCCCGTCGCACACGCAGTCGTTGAGCAGCAGCGCCTTGGGCACGGCCAGCATGTCCTCGATGACGGCCCGGCACTCCTCGGTGCAGCGCAGGCCGTTGAAGAGCTTGCCGCAGAACGTCATGTAGCGGCTGAGGGCCACGCTGCACCGGCTGTCCCAGTCGCAGCGCCGCCGCGCCTCCGTGCAGCCGATCACGCCGCCGCCCGCTCCCCCGCCGCCCGCGCTGCCGCCGCCGCCGCCGCCGCTGCTCGTCCGAGGCAAACACGGCTCGATAGCGCGCTTGGTGGCGCGGCACTTCTCGTCCTGGTCGCAGTCGCAGTCCTCCAGCGCCGGGCCCCGCCTGGTGTGGTTGAGCTGGATGAGCGCCGAAATGCAGTGGCTCGGGCACCGCCGCCTATTGGAGAAGGAGGAGGACGCCGCCGCCGAGGCGGCAAAGCCGTCCCCCTCGGCCATGAGCACCGGCGCGCACGCCTCGGCGTACTGGCTGTAAGCGTAGCCGCAGTCCGGCTCTTCCTGGCACTGCAGCATCGCCTGCCAGCAGATCAGGCGCCGGCCGTGAACTCCCAGCGGAGGAGAGGCGGCGCCCAGCAGCAGCACCAGCAGCCTCAGCCCCAAGGCGGCCAGTTGCGGGAGCAGCGCGGTCCGTAGGCATCGTCCTCCTCCTCCCCGCCAGGCTGCCACCATCGCGGGCGGCCGCAAGGCAATCGTGGTCGGGAAGCGAGCGGGGAGGGCGCGGAGGAAGCGGCGGCGGCGGCGGCCCAGCGGCTGCCGAGCGTAGAAAAGTTTGGGGAAGTTTGGCCGAGGGTGCGCATGGGGGTCTTCCTCGTCAATCCATCCGCACGGCGCCCGTCCGCGGCCTGGGGTCTTCCTTCGGGAACGGTTTTCCGAGAGCCCAGGAAAGCGGCGCCTTCTCCCTTTTTGCAGCAGCCCGACAGCCTCCGCCCCTTACTCCCGGGATGGGGAGGCCGGGAGGCGGCGAAAGAAGCCTGGAATTGCTGCGGGGCGATGGGCTCCCTGCTGCGTCGGAGCGGCGGCTTCCCTCCTTCTCATGCCGGTCTTCTTTCTTGGGATCTCAGCGCATCTCCTCTCACATGCCAAGCGGCCGCGCTGAACTTCCCGCGAGCCCCCCGGCCGGGCTCCGGAGGCGCGCTGAACCTCGCAGACTCTTCCGCTGTTGGGCAGGAGAAGGCAGCCTAAAGCAACGAGGCAGCCGGGACTCGCCGCGCTCTCCCTTCGGCTTCCCTCGCCGCCGGATCCTTCCTCTCTCTCTCTCTCTTCCTCTCTTTGCCGACACTTTTGAGGAACTGTTTTCTTTCGCGAGGCTTTAAATACAAAAGTGCTCTCCACGCAGCGGCGGCGACGGCGGCGGCAGCGTGTTCTGATCCGGCCTCATTATGCATGCATGGCAAAGCAAACAAACAAAAAAAATTAGCAACGCTTCTCCTCCTTATTACACCTCCCCCCTTGGCTGGAGCCCTCCGACTGATTCGCTCTTTCTCCTCTTCTCCACTCCCTCTCCGGCCGCCCCGCCCCTTTTCCTTGCTACGCGGCCCGCGATTGGTCGGGCCGCGGTTGACACTCCCCCTTTTCCCCCTTCTTTCCTTACGATCTCTAGGAAAGAAGCGGGGAGAGGGCTCCGGGGGGGCTGGTGGGCTGCTCGCATTCAAAGCTTGAAAGGAAAGGCTTAAAAAGATTGACAGTAGCCCCCCGAGGACCCCCTCCTCCTATTAAGGAAGTTCCTCCGCGCCGCTTCTTAAAACGGGCGAAAATGCAGAAAGGCGAGAGTTGGCGACTGCTCTCCCATTAACGCTTGCTGGGGCGTTTTCAAGCTAAAAGAAACTTGGGAAAGATAAAATGAAAGTTTCCAACGCTCATCCTCATAATAAAGAGTTGCACGCTTGTTTCACTGGGTACTTCCAAAGAGGTGGATCGCGGTCTACTCTGCCCAACGGGGCTGAAAGTGTAAGTTGCTCTGTGGGGATCCGGGAGGCCCAAGTTTGTTAAGACAGGGCTTTTCAACCTTTTCACCGATTGTACCACTTTTAGGATATGGCAATATCCGAGTACCACCAGTCGCCTAGCAAGGTATCAAAAACTTGATGACAAAAAAAAAAAAAAAAGGAAAAAAGTGATAAAGTACAGGTAGTCCTCGACTTACAACAGTTTGCTTAGTGACTATTCGAAGTTACAATGGCACTGAAAAAAGTGCCCCCCAAGGCACAGCCGAGCAAGACACCTGTCTGCCCGCCCGGCAGCACTCTCATTCCCCCTCCCCCCCGCTACCACTTTTCTAGGATGGTCGCGTACCACCTGCCAGGTGCCAATGTACCACAGGTGGTACCCGTACCACTGGTTGAAAAGCCCTGTGTTAAGACACGCTCAGGGTCTACCCACCCGCGCCGATCTCTCCTGACGTAGAACCGGTCCCCCGGAAACTTTCACTGAACTTTCACTTAAGACCACATAGAAGTCCACGACCACCACCACCCCGTTGCCTTCTGTTTCGCGTGTTTGAATTCCCAAGCTGTATGAACCCAGGGAGTTGGGTTAGCTAAAAAAATGGATTTTGTACGTAAGAGGAGACGCATCTGAACGAGGTTCATCATCATTCCTGGGGAAAGCAGTCCAGTTTTAAAAGTGTCCATTTTGAAAGATGGAAAGCAAAGGATAGGACGTGCTGTGGAGGGTTTAGGAACACACATACATAGTTTGATGTAATGGTTAAGGTACCACGCTGAAATCGGAGACTGTTAGTTGTGCTTTTTGGCCTTAAGGCACGAAAGCTGGCTGGGTGACTTTGAGCCAGTCACTCTCTCTGAGCCCAACCCACCTTACAGAGTTGTTGTTAAGCAGAAAATAGGAGGAGGGAGGAGTATTAGTTACTTATATAAAGTAATACAGGCAGGATGAAAACATCAGATAAATACATATCCATCCTATGAACTCACATTAGTATATGTTATAAGGGCAAGAGGTTAGAAAACATCAAGGGGTGGGGGAGGAATTTGGTATCCTTCAGCTTTGCTGGTAGTACATCTTGAACGTCACTGTGTGTGTGTGTGTGTGTGTGTGTGTGTTGTCCTTTTAGTGCTACCTTAAGTTTTACTGTTGCAAATATATTTGACCGCAAGGGGCATCAGTGTCTGCTGACTGTCAAGGGACAGCTCTACAGGAAGGGAGCAGCTCCATCTGTCAGAAAAATCAGGGCTAAAAGCTATTTTCCAGAACTAAAGGGAGCCTGAATTTGTGGGATAAAAGTTGTCTTAAAATCTCAAGTTAGTATAGACATATATCCTACAATTAGGATATGAGAGTCGATATGAGAGAATCTGTTTCAAAAACAATCCCAATGAGCAAACTATTCCCTCTGAATTTGTTTTCACATTTAAGAAACAATCTCATGGACATTTTTCTCAGTGCCCCCACCCCACCCCACCCCAGGGGCTCATTTTATCCAAGGCCCAATGTTTTAGGGTCTGGAATTTGATTCGGGAGACATCAGCCTATCCTCGTTTTCTTGGGAGAAAATCTCCCCAGAATTCAATCTGCTTTTCTTTCAAACAGCCTTTTTGTATGCAACAGTATACAGTAATATTTACTGCCGAGCATCACAAAACAGGTTCCCTGTTTCTACTGTCTAGCAGTGTTACATATCCAAGTGAAGTAGTGTATGCTCTTCAAAGGAGCTGAAAACTGTGTGTGACCTCTGCAGTTTTACTTCACAATAGGAAGATGTGAGATGACTGATAGTCCATTGAATTGTGTCTTTCTTGAACTAAGACTGACAAAACAGTGACCTTCTCATAGTTGTCCCATCTCTGACTTAGTCCGTGTGTGATTACTTTGCTTCGGGCTCAAGTTGTTGGTTACAGTTCACTGGCACTTTTAAGCCAGATCTCTACTATGCTGCTACTGTATACCACAGCATAACACTGTTCACTTTTTTTCCTTGTAGGATAATATATAAAGTGTACCTGATTACAAAGTTCAAAGAGGTGTCTGCGATTCAGATTCTGGCTTTGGTCTCCAACACCAGCTTGTCCTAAGTTTGCCATCTCTTAAAATTAAAAAGGAAATTTGTACAACAATTTAAAATGTTATGTGAATTATAAGTACAGCAGCACCATGTTTAAACCTGCAAAAAAACAGGATTAATGGCCTAACAAACACAAGCAACATAATTACCTACATTCATATCCATTAATTAGCAGTTCATCCACTTATGTAGAAACCACTTATTATATAATGTTAATAGTTCATCCAGCTGGATTAAATGTTAGAATTCCTGCCAGCTTTCATTTAATTGGAAAAGAGATGATGTTGAATGATAAGATTTAGTTCATGAGCAGATTCAAGACATGCCTGCACAATTTACGATATGTCAAGCCAACATAGTCCATCAGTTGGGATTGTAACCAAGGATAAGCACTTGGTAACGTCCTGTGACTCTAAAACAATAGAATTGCCAACCATTTCCCAAGGCACCATACACAGTAGGCAAAATTGATTCTGTCCTTCTGAGACACGGATTGTGTTAGCTTACTCAGCGTTACTGATTTTAAAAAGCAAAGACATCCTCCACTTGAATTCTTGGTTTATATGTACAGTACATGTCTGTATAGTTTTCTGACCTCCACATTTTTCCAGAGTATATTTTGTTGTGGGAATCTTTGGTGGTTTCCTATTCTAGTGTTAAATCAGGTCTGATCCTGCAGAGTTCGAAGTCCAGATGCAGTTAGCCCCAAGCTGTCCTGTGTTCAGACATATTATTGATTAGGACTATGCAGAGATCCATATCAGAGGGCAAAATATGCCAGGAACATGTTAAACAAAACATATTTTTTCTCCTTAAAGATATCATGGAAACTATAGAGGAGAGCTGCATGATGCCAGGAAAAGGCTTAGGTGCTTTGAGGTGTTTTGGCAGTTGTTATATGTCTGTGAACATCAATCAGGTCATGGCAGGTGCTGTGTCTGAGTTACCAGCAAACAAGAGCTGTGTGAACGGCCACTGTTAATAACTGACATCACTGTTGGCAGGTCTGCTACCTCTCCCCAATCATAAGAGTATTTATCTTTCCAACACATTTAATGTACAATAGTAAACTGTTATCCACAGACACTAATGCTGCAATATATATATATATATATATATATATATATATATATATATATATATATATATATATATATATATATATATATATATATATATATATATATATATTTT